CTCTCCTGCTGATGTTCAGGTGTATATCAGTATGTAGTGTCTCTACTTTAAAGAGTCCTCTCCTGCTGATGTTCAGGTGTATATCAGTATGTAGTGTCTCTACATGTCTCCATGCTTTAATGTTCAAAAAGCTCTTTATTTTTCTCATACTGCCTGTGCTGCAGCACCTCTTTTCACCCTCTGTCTGAAACCAGAGCCCAGTCTGCTCTGATTGGTTAGCTGGCCGGCTCTGTTGTGATTGGTCAACCAGATGTCCCGCCCCTCGGCCTATCATGTACAATGTGTTCAAGTGTTAGCCAATAGAAGAGCGTAGTTACATAGTGATGTCACTATGTTCGGGAAGTAAAATGTAAGTATTACCAACTGTATTTGTTCCTTATACTGTTACAGCTCTATTCTCTAATTCCTTAAGTATAGTTCAATTCATAACCTCTTTATACTTTTACTTATAGCATCACTTGTACTGTAGTACTGGCTGTACTTCCATAGGTTATGCAGTATTTTAGTACATGCACTTCTGCAGGAAATGACAATTAAGTTGTAAACAAATGAAGAAGCTAACTCCGTTTATTAGAGCAGAGCTGACAAAAGGATTAGTGATGTAACCATCCAAATGACACACACACACGTCTGTCATGGTGTCAATATGGACACACACATGAGGGTAAATGTATTGAGTTCTCTGCATCATCTAACCCCGGGGTTTCCACATTGCAAACAGCAATAGCTATAAGCTTGATCAAACAGCTTTAATCTGCAGAACTGGGTGAAGAAACACACAGTGGCATAAGATGCTTTCTCAAGACAGGAGAAAAGCTACACAATCTCTTGTTGCCGCGAAGACTTCCCTTTTATCTACTGTTTAAAGTACACGATGATATCAGGAAAGGTCCACTTTAAAACTCATTTACAACATAGTTGCAGCTGAGGAAATGCATCACTGAGTGAAAAAAAACACATTGACTGGCAATAATATTTATATTATCGTCCAGATTATGTGTTACAGTAAATGTTAGTAAAAGGATGGTTTATTCTTCTTTAACTTTGTGCAAAGCCTTGTTTACATGCTGCAGTGACAACATTCCAATATTTGAGATCAATAAAGTCATAAAATCTAGTAAAAGCTGCAACGATAAGTCGAGTAATAGGAGGAAAAACAAGAATCTTCAACTATTGATATCATCTATACGTCATTATAGTACACATTGATGCACGTAAAGTCAGCCAATGTATGGAAAATGCATCCATTATTTTCTTTACTTCTAAGTTTCATGGTTGCATTTATTGTACAAGCATAAAAAATGACACTTTTATGTTTGTTTTAAAAAAGGGAGAAAAATGTCAGGATGAAACAAGACCCATTGTTGTCCGCTTAGAAAACACTTTCTCCTCTGAAACAACAAAATGAGACAATAATGCAATTCTCTTTTCGAGGTAACTACTACAGCCACTGTGATGTGCTACTGACAGAAAAAGCACACGGTTAATCAGGAATATTTCTATAATGACAGTAGTTTGAACTAAAGTTATTATGTAATGATGTATCTCATGATACATCTTGTTGTGTTATTGGGGAAATACACTTCAAGGTGCAGTATTAACATTAAAGCTGTCTGTGAAGACTTGGCCACTTTTGTACATGCTATATTAAAACAGGAAGCTGTCATTTCTATTTCTCAAAATGGATTAATGTGGTAGTTTTTTTTAAGAAGCACTGACTGTTAAACTAGATCACTCATTTCGTTCTGCAAAGCCCACCAGCAAACTGTTCCAGGAAGAGATATGCAGAGATAACATCTTTAAAGTTACCATCTTAAGACAACACAGCAGCACGTCTGCACACGTCTGAAAAAGACTTCAAAATAAGCATTTCCTGCTGTGATGGTATTTCGGGGTCAGGCTTATTCGGAAGAACACCAAGTGACTGATACTAGATGACTCCTGGTAGCAGAAAAGATGAGGTTTTAAAGATAAATCAATACATTTGCGTGACACACTGATTACATTTTGACACATGTTGGACAATATATCGTATTGTGTTGATCGGTAATATAACGTTAGGGACTCAACAACCTGTGAGGATCATAAAAAGGGAAATAACAAGAATAAAGACAGCTCTATCAGCTCATATTGTGATATCTGTCTCTTCTGTTCCCTTCCTGCTGAACATATCAACTTAAAACTCCTCATTTTCGGTGAGAAAGCACATTATTTAAATCTAAAATTACCACGAAATGAACACATAAAGGATGACAAGAGCAGCCAGGTGAAAAGGCAACACAAAACCGCCCAAAATAGTCGAAATGTGTGACATCAAACTCAAGCAAAATGCACACCTTTAGTCAAAACTTCGACCCAAATATTTTCACATAGGTGGAAACTTTTAGGCTTTGAAAAATGAATCCGTGTTTTAAATGTTTTTGTTAACCAGCGAAGCGACTGTTTCCTCACGCAGCGAGGAGCAACATTTGGTTTCAGGTGGTAAAGCGTGCACCAGTCCAGAAGACCTTATTTTTAAATATTTAGAGAAGTTTGAGGGTCTTACCTGACGGATTTAAGGAGGACAGACCTACACAGATGAGCGCGTGGAGGTTACTGTGGTCCTCGCGCTGCTACAAGTGTCGATGCGACGATGCCCCTCCTCCAGTCAAGGTCTCTCGCGCACGCTTTTTGTTGTTGTTTAGGCTCAATGGTGCAGGATAAAAAATAAGAGGGGGGAGAAGTACTCAGGTATTGCAGAAAATTATTATCATCAAAATATAGTTAAAGTAGCGACAGTAAAAGTAGTCATTGTGCAGATTGGTCCATTTCAGAATAATATATATGATGTGTTTTATAATTATTGATCATTAAAGTGTTCTCAAAGCTGGTAAAGGTGCAGTTAGTTTGAATGACTTTGTATACTGCAGGGTAGCTGGTGGATTTACTCCAGGTGGAACTAAAGTCTGATTTAACACTTGATTATATTTCACATAATTAATACAAATATGCAATGTCTCTAACGGTAATAGATTTGAACTGGTCGAAGACAAGATAAGCTCATGGTATACTTGTGTAGGTAAATAGAGCCTGTATTGAATATTGCCTTTTCATAAGAGATATTGTGAATGGGGAAAATAGAGTCATTTATTGTGATTTTTTTTACTTGAGATATTTTTTCTTGAATAATGGGAGGAAGAAATAACATATATTTTAAAGTAATCCTCGGGACACTTTTTTTAAATAGATTTCTTTCTGTACAAGAAAAATAAAATAAAAATCAATAACGCAAGTAGAACAAAATACAATAATGTTACATATTTACATTTCTTTATATTTCGTGTATTATTGATGCAGATTCAGTTGAATAAAACATGTGTTCTACCTGTGTGGACTCAGAGTAAGAGCAATGACGCCATCTACAGGTTGCACCGACAGATATATTGAATTATTTTTTATTAAATACAATTCGAATCTACTCTAAAATAATTCTCAACAAAGCAATTTTGGGGATTTAAAACAAAACACAATTTTTTTTTAAATTCTACCAACAGTTTTGGAAATCTTTTGACCTGCAAAAGCAAATAAGGATATATGACTTAACTAGAGAATGCAAATCCTGAAGAAACTTCCCTGGGAAATATAATATATAAATATATTATTCTGAAATGGACCAATCTGCAGAATGCCTACTTTTGGTACTTTTAGTATATTTTGATGACTTTTGTAGTTTTTCTTGAGTAACATTTTGAATGCAGGACTTTTACTGCGACAGAGTATTCCTACTCTGATACTTCTACTTTTACTTAAATACAAGATCTGAGTACTTCTCCCCCCTCTGCTTAACAGTGAAGACAACATAACATATTAAGTGTAAAGTTGATGATAGACATGCAACATGTTGTGGATTTTAAGGTCAAACTGGTTCATAGAGGTCCAATAAGTGCACCGAGGGCCACATACAGAGAAACACACTAAGGGCTGGGCCAATCACTAGAGATGTATTGCCTCATAAGGTGAGTTATAAGTTAGCAAAATTAATCAAATGGAGGTAAATTATTCCTGACCTTGAATATGCTTTAAAGGTCCCATGTCATGCTTTTCCGGTTATTACCCGTCCCCTTGTGTGTTATGTAGGTTTTTCTGCATGTAAACGGTCTGCAGAGTCACAAACCCTCAAAGTACACCCTGTAGCGAGTAAAACTCTAACACAGAAAATACCTGTCTGTGCTGCCCCAGAACGCCTCGTTGGAGATTTCTCTTTTTCTTCCTGGGTACAGTGACGTGCCCATACCCAAATGGACCAATCTGCCGAGCCGTTACGTTAACACACACACTCAATCTTTTCTCAGCTGCAGCTCCGCCGATTTCTCCTCCCTGAGACGGCGGGACGCGGTGAGGCTGTGTCAAGTCTTTTATCAATGTTAGTCAAGCGGAGCTCCAACAAGCCGTGTAGGACAGAGAGTGAATACACATACTATATAGAGATGCTGTGAGAAACCAATGTGATTTTGGAAACTTGCACAATATAAATCTATTCTAGTAGACCTCAACAATGGAATTATGATCGGTAGAAATGGCCATGACACAGGACCTTTAATACACACAACAGCCTACATCCCAGCTCTCCAGAGGGTTTACTTTATTTAATAGGCAGCTCATTCCTTCAAACCGAAGCCTCAGATTGCTTATCACAAGAGGAAATATGAAGTCTATTTCAAGCTTGTAATCTAAATAACTTTATTTTCAAACGATTTGTTTGAAAATATTACCAACATTATTGACTGAGTTTATTTGAAAAGTGTACTTATTAACACGTAAATAATGTGTAATGTATGATTACATATATATTTAAGAAGTACAATATGCACAAGTTTTATTTGTGGGCCATATTCCTTTATACTTTTTTTGATTAGGGCCGTTTCAAAATGGGCCGCATTTGGCCCTCGGGTCGTAGTTTGGACACCCCTGGCATAAATACATATTAAACTGTGCAAGCAAGAGACGGTGTCAACACGTGGTGTAATTGGACTGTTTTTATTGCATGAATTGTAGTAGCTGCAGACGTTTCAGATGAGTACAGTTGGGTTTGAATCCTTCCTGCAGTGAACATGGTCAGTGGACATTCAGATGGCACGGCTAACTTGATTCTCCAGCACTTACACACTGCATTTAAAACCTCCACTGTAGCACCGAGGGATGAGGAAAGAGGGGGGCGATCAATTGTACCTTCAACTTTTCAACACCACATACAGTTGGCTGCAAGTTATCAAAATATGCTTCAGTGTCTGAACACAGAAGATGGAACAGCGGTGAGTCTGAAGAGGATCATTCTGCATTTCATGAAAAGGCTGTTGTTATTGCTGTCTACCTGTTGAGACAAAAAGAGGATGGTGGTGGTGTGCTTTTGGTGGGAAACCCCCTCCAGCATGCACTCCACATGTGCTGCTCATTCGGATGAATAATCAGAACATTATTTAAAGAAATCACGCAGAAAGGACCCATCCAAAAGCAGTATCCAAACTGTGGATTCAGAGTCTGAGCAATGACGCCATCTACAGGAGAGAGGGAGCGGACATATTGAAGATTGTTGCTATGATATTTCAGAAATAAAATACAGTTTGCTTTTAAAGTAGGTAGACCAGCCACACATTAAAACAGAGTCCTTACTGTTGGACTTTTAAAATGGTCTCTTAACGTCTTAAAAGAAACTTGGTCACTCAACTGTCACTGAAAAAAACAAATGAATTGATAATAAATGTGATTATTTTTCTGAACCTGAACATATCCCACCCTCGCGCTCAACTCACCCTACTTCAATATAGGCCTCAACGATACAGGCTCTAATGTTAATTATACATCTCTCCATACTATGTTCATATAATTAATAAAAAAATAAATACATTTAACAAATACAAATGATTTTGCAGTGGGTAAATTACCAAAAGGAACACCAACAGTTAACACACCAAGAGTAGCATTTCTGGATAAAAACCACCTCTTGTTCATGTATACCTGTAGTCTCATCTGCACTGGTGTGATGTGTGCAGAGGTCTTTAGTGATGTGTGCAGAGGTCTTTAGTGATGTGTGTGTATGTGAACACTCACAGAGAGAAGTCAATGCTGATGATATATGTTGGCAATGGGACGCCCAAAATCTTGGCTTTGGCCAAAAAAAGGGCAGGTTTACATGTCTTCCATCGGTATATCTTGTAAAAAGGTATTATGAAACATTTTCTTCTTACTCGTATATATTCGTTTTTTGCGTATGTGTTTTTTTTTTTTTTTTACAAATCTTTGTATAATCTGTTTAGACATAACAAAACAGATTAACAGAAAAATCAACCAACGAAAAAAAAAAAATCATGCATAAGTTATGTCCCACTCTAACTGATTGCATTTGTAAGTAACCATCGTTATAACATCTGTTCTCACACATCTTTGATTTTGTACATTTTCAGCCATTTTTTCCTTTTTTTTTGGGGATAAAAACATCATTGTATTTCCAGCCAGCAGCAGCAGCAGCAGGTTTTGCTCCGCAGTCGATTATTCCTGTGTTCCCGTACAGCAGGAGGCGCAAGAGGCATGTTTTTGTGGCTGTGGGAAGGAAATCCACTCCGTAAGAGAAGCTTTAGGGAGGCGTGTGAGCGTTTATCCTTACGATCTCAATCCAGGTCCAAGAAATGAAACTCCCTTTTCCTAAAACAATTCTTTATTTTTTTTTGTTCTTTTTATTTCCTTGCCAACTTCCCCGTAAGAAGCTCGACAGATTGGCTGTGGGTTCATCTCCCAACGACCTCCGGAGGCTGACTCTGCAGCAGAAGTAGAGGGACAGGACAGTCACAGAGACGCATGGTGTCCCCTATCTGCAGAGCTCTTCCTGTGTGGAGTCCCGCACATTTTTCCTCTTCTTGCTGTTGCCCTGCTGGTGAGGCTTGTTGCTCTGTTGACTTTTGGTGGTGGTGGAGGTCGAGCTCTGCTGTGTGTGGTTGCCGCTCTTCTGGTGAGAACGAGACATCCTGGCCTGGGGAGGGGATATGCAATTTATTTTTAGTTTTTGTTAAATACCGTCAAACTATGTGCAATATGTGCTTTATGTGCAATATATACATATGCCATCTTTAATAACTATAATATATACCGGGCTGCTAAATCCTAAGAACTGCTACAGGATTTGATTTGTAGATTTGATTTGTTTTTGAAAATTATGTAACCTTTTTAGTTTTATCTTTTTTTAGCATATTGTTTATTATATTATAACTTAGTACTTTTTTTAACGCATGTAAGATATGCAACACTAAGCTGTCTGTGGCTCTTTCCTGCTGTAACGCTGCAAATATCCCCTCTGGGTCTAATAAAGGTATTCTGATTAAAGTCGGACTGAAGCACTCCTTTTGTGCACCAGTGGATTCTAACAGTAAACACAGAGCTGAATCCCAGGTCAAATCAAGCCCCCAGGAAGTGCGCCGGACTCTGAGGAAAATATTCGTTGTGGCCAAACGACGGTACTACACTTCCGTATCGGTCGCTGGGCCCGGAAACACTTTTTCCCATTGACTAACATTGGGAAAGAGACGTCTGTAAATCGTTGGAGAATTTTTTTTGAACTAAATAAACTACCCAGTGTGAACGTTTGTATGTAAAAACATTCGGTCCTCAAGTTGTAAAATGTGCTAATAACGTTATTCTGAGAGTTATTTTCCTCGGCATTATGAACACGGATCTAACCCACGGGACCGCGCCGCCCGGCACGTTCATGTGACGTGTTCAGCACTACATGAGTTTTACCTTTACCCATGGATACACAATAAGAACGGATTATATGATTATATGAATACTTTCGTGACGTTTTGCGTTTCAGGCCCCGCCTCCCACGCTGTATCCAGTTCTTATTATACATCCATGGGTCGAATGCATGCTAAAGGTTCTTGAGCATGTTTCTCTCAGTGATTTTGATGCCATGTGAAATTGACTGTTTTATTTATTTTGAAGACAAGTTTCTTTTTTGTTTGTTTCCTAAACGAAGATGTTTATGGTTGGTTACTTTTGAACTTTCCTTTGAACAAGAGAACTGTGATTTGTGGACCATTGCATATTTTTGTTATAGAAAACCCGAAGTGGACCATTTTGGATTTAAATGTGAACTGTGGGATGAGGGATTGTTTTGTGGGATATTTGAAATATATTGCTATTCGTGATACAGAAGAATTTCGTTTCTTATTTTATAATGTCATTCAATGTTTCAATGTCAGGAGAGAGACCTGACTGGCAAAGAAACATCAATAAACCTACAAAAATAAGTGAAACTTTCACATAAAAAAACAAAATTGTGTTTAAAAATCGGTCCTTGTTAATGTTGCAATAGGAGCTGCTGTGACGCAAGTCGAATTTCAGACTTGATTTGACCATTAAAGTAATATCGTAACGTAAAATTAAAGATTGAATCAGAATCGGTTTTATTTCCAATTACACATACGAGGAATTTGCTTTGGTGTATGAAGTGCATGAGACACAGATGGAAGAATACGTAGCAAAACAAAATACAGCTATTTAAAGAAACTATTTTAAGACTATTGTAACATATACAAAATAAAGTCAAAATTAACAACATATAATACGTGAGAAACTGAGTACAGTCAAGTACAATAACATAGGACAAATACTATATACTGTATTTAAAGTGGAGAGCTGTGCTGATTTAAAAGAGGTAGTGTGAGAGGAAATGTGCAAAATTCAGAGTTTCTTTTTAAACATATTCACGTGTTCATTTACAGTGCGGATATTTGTTAAGATGTGTACATATATATACATATATATAGTTGCGTACCTTTCCTCCCTTGTTGCTTCCTGCTGGAGTGCTGTTGCTGTTGCTCTGTGATCGGTTGTTATTGACGACCGCAGACTTTTCTCTGTGTTTGCTGTTCCCCCGGCCGGTCGGCGGCGGCTGCTGCTTCGCCGTCTTACAGGGCGTCCCGTCAGAGTCCTGAGACACAAGCACAGGAGAGAAGGAGATTCACAAACCTCGCCACGTGCTAATGTACTAGATACTGCATCCAATGTACTATATATACTGTATCCAATGTATTATATATACTGTATCCAATGTATTAAATACACTGTATCCAATGTACTATATATACTGTATCCAATGTACTATATATACTGTATCCAATGTGCTAAATATACTGTATCCAATGTACTATATATACTGTATCCAATGTGCTAAATATACTGTATCCAATGTACTATATATACTGTATCCAATGTGCTAAATATACTGTATCCAATGTACTATATATACTGTATCCAATGTACTATATATACTGTATCCAATGTGCTATATATACTGTATCCAATGTGCTATATATACTGTATCCAATGTATTATATATACTGTATCCAATGTACTATATATACTGTATCCAATGTACTATATATACTGTATCCAATGTACTATATATACTGTATCCAATGTATTATATATACTGTATCCAATGTATTATATATACTGTATCCAATGTACTATATATACTGTATCCAATGTACTATATATACTGTATCCAATGTACTATATATACTGTATCCAATGTATTATATATACTGTATCCAATGTACTATATATACTGTATCCAATGTACTATATATACTGTATCCAATGTATTATATATACTGTATCCAATGTATTATATATACTGTATCCAATGTACTATATATACTGTATCCAATGTATTATATATACTGTATCCAATGTATTAAATACACTGTATCCAATGTACTATATATACTGTATCCAATGTACTATATATACTGTATCCAATGTATTATATATACTGTATCCAATGTACTATATATACTGTATCCAATGTATTAAATACACTGTATCCAATGTATTAAATACACTGCATCCAATGTACTATATATACTGTATCCAATGTACTATATATACTGTATCCAATGTACTATATATACTGTATCCAATGTACTATATATACTGTATCCAATGTACTATATCTACTGTATCCAATGTATTATATATACTGTATCCAATGTATTAAATACACTGTATCCAATGTATTAAATACACTGTATCCAATGTACTATATATACTGTATCCAATGTACTATATATACTGTATCCAATGTATTAAATACACTGCATCCAATGTACTATATATACTGTATCCAATGTACTATATATACTGTATCCAATGTATTAAATACACTGTATCCAATGTACTATATATACTGTATCCAATGTGCTATATATACTGTATCCAATGTATTAAATACACTGTATCCAATGTACTATATATACTGTATCCAATGTACTATATATACTGTATCCAATGTACTAAATATACTGTATCCAATGTGCTATATATACTGTATCCAATGTGCTATATATACTGTATCCAATGTACTATATATACTGTATCCAATGTGCTATATATACTGTATCCAATGTACTAAATATACTGTATCCAATGTACTAAATATACTGTATCCAATGTGCTATATATACTGTATCCAATGTACTATATATACTGTATCCAATGTACTATATATACTGTATCCAATGTGCTATATATACTGTATCCAATGTACTAAATATACTGTATCCAATGTACTAAATATACTGTATCCAATGTGCTATATATACTGTATCCAATGTACTATATATACTGTATCCAATGTACTATATATACTGTATCCAATGTACTATATATACTGTATCCAATGTACTATATATACTGCATCCAATGTACTATATATACTGCATCCAATGTACTATATATACTGTATCCAATGTACTAAATACACTGTATCCAATGTATTATATATACTGTATCCAATGTACTAAATACACTGTATCCAATGTACTAAATACACTGTATCCAATGTATTAATGTCATGACTGGCCTCCACACTTTCATTTCACATATATATTTAGTGTTGGCATACTAGTTTGATTTTTGCCTTTCAACGTGTATCTTTTAAAATACTGTATCAATTAAAGACTTCCAGAAATGGATTATTAAAATACAAAAAGCATCTCCAAATGCAGCAAGATTGTTGTTCCTGATTGACAGTAATCCTAAACACCAATCATTTGACCTCCTTGTGTCTATTAACCTGATCAAATGTTATATTTCGCTGCATGTAGCTTTTAAAGTTCTTAACAATCTGAGGGGAATTTCTTGTTGTGTTTTTTTAACTTGTGATGTTTCATTTTGTAAAGCACTTTGAGCTGCATGTGTTGTATAAAAAGTGCTATATAAATAAAGCTTTATTATTAAAAGCATGATTTGTTGAAAATCTCACTAAAAAATACTAAATTAGAAATACCCAGAAATGAACCATATCAACATAGGAAAAAAAAGTGTGCAAAGTAGCTGCAGGTTTTTTTTTAGGGAAGGGATAATGTGCAGCAAGACGGTCACTAAAGAAAGGTGTGTGTGTGTGTGTGTGTGTGTGTGTGTGTGTGTGTGTGTGTGTGTGTGTGTGTGTGTGTGTGTGTGTGTGTGTGTGTGTGTGTGTGGTCATTTTCAAATATCAATATGTTCAAAACGTTTTTTTCCCAAATGTTAAAAAAAATGTTTAAAATTTGAAATAGTGAAAAACATAACATAAAATCTTTCTTGTGTGAACCAACATATAAAACTAAATATTATACAAGTGATATTTCTTTGCCAAATAATTGGTTGTTGAATCACATGTTTTCTGATTTAATAGGAAAACCACTAAAAACCCGAAGTACAAAAGTACATTTAGTGTGTGTGTGTGTGTGTGTGTGTGTGTGTGTGTGTGTGTGTGTGTGTGTGTGTGCGTGTGCGTGTGTGTGGCCTAGCATGACTATACTTGTGGGGACCTAAATCTGTTTACACAGTCACGTGTGGGGACTGGCCTCCCTTATGGGGACAAATTGGAAGTCTCCGTGAGGGGAATCATTAATTTGAGGGTGAAGATGTGGTTAGGTTTAGGGTAAGGGTTAGGCATGTGTTGGTTATGGTTAAGGTTAGGATAAATCTCCAGGAAATGCATGCAAGTCAATGTGATGTCCCCTGAAGTGATGTATACATGGTATATGTGTGTGTGTGTGTGTGTGTGTGTGTACTGACCGCGTCGCTGGAAGTGGAGATGGAGGAGGAGGAAGGCGACAGAGGGGAGGAGGGAGAGGAGCGCAGGGAGGGAGACGGCGAGGAGGAGTTTGAGGAGGTTTTGCTACAGGGCGCAGACGGTAGAACAACAACATCTTCATCTTCGTCGTCATCTTCATCATCATCCGGGACGTTGTTGTTGCACTCATCGAGCTGCTTGGACTCAAACTGCCTGACGTCATTTTCTGTAGAAACGGAGAGGAGAGACGTAAGACAAAATAATATTCACACAATCCTTTCTATTTTTGACATTTATTGTTGTTTTTAATTATATGTTGTTCTATTATTTTGCCATCACTATTAAATAAATCTTATCTTGTGTTCTCTATAGCATTATGAACTTTGACATTATTTAGGTAGAGTTCTCAAATAAGGCCAGTGGGTTTTCTGTGACATATTATTGGTAATCCTGTATTTAAAAATTGTCCAAAATAACTCAAATGTATAATCAAAAGATATAATCATTATTTATGTGGATTTAATGACTGAGTGGGCAAAAGCTAATTAACAAACAGTGCAGTTAAATCATACAAATGACATAACGTTACTGTAACGCTGCCTTTAAAACCAGACCGACAATATCAAAAACTAAAAATAAATCTGACACAGCATTAATATCAATCAATTGGCCCAGTCTTAATAAAGCCATGCTGCTGGGACATCAAAACCCTTCCCTTTACCTCCCTTAGATTTAGAGTCAATATTTAGATGCAATATGATTCAAAGATATATGTTAAGAAATGTAAGGAGTTTGGTCGTACTGTTGAGCGGCAGGTCGTTCTGAGACGGGCTCCCCCAGTTCTTCCGGATCCATTCCCTGTAGTCGTCCACTTCCTGTGTGACTCGGATGATTCGACCCAGTATGCTGCGATGGGAAACAGAGAGAGGTAAACCTGTTAAACCAGTGTGTGCATACAGCGGTCTGAAAACAGATGGTACTGTGCCCTGTAGGGCCGGGCGATATGTCGCATAAACTCAATGTGTCACGGCCTACGTACTATCTAAAAATATGACTATATCGCCAACATCAAGTGTGTCTGGTACTTTTTGACATGAGACTTGCTTTGGGGTTTTGCTCCTCTTGCTCTCTCCCATTGCCCTCTCTTCCTCTCACAGACATAAAAAACCGATATCTCACACCAGGAGTTAAACTGGGCCGAGACCGTTTACAAAAATGGGTTTAAAATGTGTGCTCTGCCCCCAAATAACTGCATATCACATCAAGCGCTCCCTAGACTTAAAGCGACGCAGCAGCCAATATGGAGATTTTCTGACTTTTTGCCAGCTTTATTCTTTTCATTTATGCCGTCATTGTATTATTTGTACAAGCATATATCACAACATGCATACTGTAACCTCATCCGCACCTTATCCACTATTTTTGGTTCGATGTAGGGATCGACCGATATGGCTTTTTCAAGGCCGATACCGGTTATTAGTAATCAAGGAGACCGATAACCGATATTTGGAACCGATATACATTTGTAGTAAAATCAGAAAATCTTGGTGTCAAAATGTAGAATAACTTCTTTGAAATGCCTTTTTATGTTTAATGAACTTTTCAACATCTTAAAACTGGTTTCCTCTCTGTGACCCTGAGTAAAGTAAATGAAGTAAAAATAAAAACTACTAAAACTTGTTCTGAACTTCTGATATTTGAGTCTCACTCATTAAGTAGTCCCAATTCAGCAGCACCAGATTGTGGAGCAGAGAGCTACGAGGCTCCACTAGCAGCCGTCCCAGCGCGTCAGTTTCTCCGCTGCGAGACGCTAGCCGCCCCAGTGGTGACTGCAGCCAGAGAAACGGCCGCATCAGAGCCAAAGTCGTATCGGCAATTTGATAAAAAAAAAGAAAAGCTGATCCCGATAATCTGTAAAATGCGGAATATCGGCCTCGATAAACGGGCAGGCCGATAATCGGTCGACCCCTAGTTCGATGCAAGCTGTATTTCATTGTACTATGTGCAATGACCATGCAGTGGTGCAGGAATGAGTCCTAAAACCTGATAATAAGTCAGCATTTCACCACTTATTGTTCTCTTGTCTACAAAGCAATGGTTTTTTGAACGTGTTTTTGGAAATCCACATTTCTGCACCTCTCAATAAAGTTGAATGTAATCAGATCTCACCTCTCGGTCTCGTTGTTGGGGTAGTATTTGGCGATGGGGGACACGGCGTGGCTGAGCACCACGTAGGCGTAGTCAAACGCCTGCTTCACCTGCATGGCCCCGTATGAACTGCGACCCACATCGTTATCTGTTGGAAACAAATCAGACGGTGAGATTGTGTGAATGCGAGACACACGATATGCTTAAGGGCCACATAGAGAAAAATATACGAAGGGCTGGGCCACTCACTAGAGGTTTATCGCCTCATAAGTTCAGTTATAAGTTAGCAAAATCAATCAAATGTAGGTAAATGATGCTTTAACTTATGTTAGAAAATGTTTCCAACTTGAATTGAGTGAATTTATTTGAAAAGTGGTCTTATTAACACGGTGTAATATATTTTTACATTTATAGTTAGTTTGGACACCCCTCGCCCCTGGCCTAACCCTTTTTTCTCCTCCGTGTCCACTGTTCCCACCTGGCTGCAGAGGGTCCTCGATGTAGAGCATGGAGGGCCTGTAGCTGTCCATGCTCTTCTGAACCTCGTCTTTGGCCACGTAGCAGCCTCCGTCAGCGATCCGGATGCCTGTCTTCAGATAGTTGAAGTGGCGACCGTAGAGCTCAAAGAACTCGATGAGCAGAACGCCGAAGTTGATGTTGGGACTGCACACATCCTCCCTGTAGTGAAGCTGGAAGGTAACACGGCACCATGTCAGGATTATTGCAAAAGTGAGTTATTTGAAAAAGGAATGGAAGTGTGAGCACAAACGTTTTGCAATGTTTTCACTAAAGGCGGCAGATCGTTGGGATTCGGGCTGTTTTCTCCTCAGAGTTTTAATGATTCTGAAAAGCTATTCAGACGGATACAAATAAAGCTACTAAAGTTCAAGGGCCAAATATCAGTTTTTCATAAGGAAGAAAGAACAACATGATTAAAAACTAGGGGTGCGCTGATAACGGCTAAATCAATGGATCAGACATCAAAAAAATAATAAAACGTTTAGATAAAAGCAGCATCTGTACTATTATTTGTTGTGGGCTGTGTTTTTATTCAAAGTGCATAAATACAAATGTAACATTAGAAGCTTATTTTTTCAAGACGGGGGAAAAAAACACAACAATAATAACTTTAATTGATATAGCGCCTTTCATTAACCCAAGGTCGCTTAACAAGAAACACATAAGGACAAGACATAAAACAGGGGGCAGAAGTGGAAGTGTTACATTGCAGGGGGGGGGGGGAAGTGAGTTAATGTTGGAAGGCTTTGTTGAACAGATGAGTTTTGAGGGTAGTTTTGAAGATGTTCAGAGAAGGGGAGTTACGGATTTCAGCAGGGAGGGAGTTCCAGAGGGGGGGGGAATCGACACTGAAGGCACGGCCCCCGAAGGTTCGGAGGCGTGAATGGGGAATGGAGAGCAGGCCGGAGTCTGAGCATCGAAGGGTGTGGGACGGGATGTAAGGGTGGAGGAGATCTGTGAGGGACTGAGGGGAGAGGGCATGGAGGGACTTGTGGGTTAGATCCGCGTTCATAATGCCGAGGGAAATAACTCAGAATAACGTTATTAGCACATTTTACAACTTGAGGACCGAATGTTTTTAATAAGGGCTATTCAACGTTCATACTGGGTAGTTTACTTAGTTTAAAAACAATTATCCAACGATTTCCAGACGTCGCTTTCCCCATGTTAGTCAATGAGGAGTTTGTAGGTGATGCGGGACTTGACCGGGAGCCAGTGGACGTTGAAGAGAGTGGGGGGGGGGGGTGATGTGCTGCCAGCGCTTGGTGCGTGTGAGAACCCTGGCAGCTGAGTTCTGGATGTACTGGAGCCTGTCCAGGTGTCCAACGTTTTGGACATACAAAGTGTCTCCGAGCGCTCCCTAATAAAGACATTGAAGCTCTGGTGGACGACGGAGCGTCTCTTACCTGCAGGAAACTGACAGCCATGAGGAACAGGCTGTAGGAGCCGATCCCTCCGGTGAAAACCTCGTTCAGGTCCCTCTGCAGGAGGAACTGCTTCAGCACCAGCACCAGGTAAGGCAGCACGGGGTATTTCTGCAGGGACACACAGGGAGGAATAAATGTAGATGCATACAGCGCCCTCTGGAGGAGAACAGGAAGTTAGAAAAACAGGATTTTGTGTGTGCTGTCATACTAATGAGTAGTATATGGAAAGCCAATTTGAGATTGGCTTATTCTCATATTGCCTGAATGAAAACATTACCTTTATGTGCCACAGAAGACAATTAAACTCCATTAACGTTTTTTATTTATCTCCTGTGAGGTTAAACGTGTTAAAAAGTGCTGTTTAAAACTGAAACTGCTACTAAGAACCACTTTATTGAATCACTCTCCGGTGCAATAAACACTTCTCTTGTTGATGCTATACACATTTTGTATTTAACTTTAACATGTGCACAGCTCTCCACTTTAACATGTAATATACCGCACTGTGATTGAAATGATTCTCATAGTTTCATTTTATTCTGTATTTATATTCATTGTAATAGTTTCTCTGTTTTTTTTATTTACAATTTGTATTTTTATAACAGTTCTATTTTCTCACAACTTATTTTCCTCATGTTGTGTTTATACGGTCTGTAGTGGCAACATAGTGAGGAAGAATATAAGCCAATCAGCTGAAAGTAACAAGCTGTAAAAAGTAGAATGCAGTCTCCAAAGTAAAGGGGAAGTATGAAGCAGCACTAAGTGAAAACTACTCGGGCGGAAGGATACAGGAAAGACATTTTTTGTGTGAACATTTCCCCCAAATTGCATCATTTTTGCACACCGCACCTCTTTGAATTCCTTTATGAGCCGGGCAGCTTTTACGCCACTCTTCACGTTGAAGCTGATGTCCACTTTGACCTCAGTGAAGGAGTCGGTCAGCTTGATGATGGGAACCTGAAACACACATTAGAGCAGGTGTTAAACTGAGGAAGCCACAACAATTAGACGCTGACTGAAAGGCCTCCAGACATCGTGCTGTAAGCGCCTTTTAAATAAACCTGCATCCATACTAGTCCTGTTGCAAGCCTGAAAACAGAACACACACATGCTGCACTAATCCTTAACTAGTGACTGTGGCTGTGAGGTCGTCTTTCAACCAGAAGGTTGTGGGTTCGATCCCAGCCCGTGCAGCCAACATGTCGATGTATCCTTGGGCAAGGTACTTAACCCTGAGTTTCTCCCGATGGCCAACGGGGTGTGAATGTTAGGTCCTAGAGTAAGGAACACTGCTCTGTATGAATGGATGAACGACATGTAGCATGTAAAGCGCTTTGAGGGGTCGTAAAGACTGGATAAAGCGCTATATAAGTACAGTCCATTTACAATTTAACTAAACTAATTGAGCAGAAAAGTGCTAATCTGCTATTTCTAATCTCTAACAAAAGTGAAATTTGAAAGAAACAAAGAGCTGTATTCAGATCCTGATGCAATATAAACTCAATCCATTCGACGCAACGTTTAAAAATAACTCAAAACACTAAGTGTTGTCAGGGCTTCTGCAGGTTTCAACAAGTTCAATTTAAAGGGGCCCTAATCTGCTGCTTCTCAGGTTCATATCAGTATGCAATGCCTCTACTGTGACGTGTCTCCATGCTTTAATGTTCAAAAAGCTCTTTATTTCTCATGCTGCCTGTTAGGGCTGCACGATATTGGAAAAAACTGATATTGCGATATATTTTTTCCCCCTGCGATATGAAAAAATACAGGAATTGAAGAAAACCATCCTTTCTTGAACTTTAGCGCTATACAATTGGTTTTTTTTTAACGATATTTAACCGGATGAAGGATTTTAGTCACGGACTTCTGGATCTTAAGTTATCAGAGCAACAAGCTGAGCTAGCTCGGTGATCAAGAAGGATTGTGATTGGTGGTTTGCTGTGCATGCAGAGCCTGCATGTCACTCACTCAAGTACCTTTTCCTTTTGTAGCAAGCAGCAAAATAATTGTAACATGACGTGTTTGAGTTTATTTGCCTACTTAATATCGCACGTCCTAAAAAAAACAACCACGTCCTCGCGCAGCCCTACTGCCTGTGCTGCAGCAGCTCTTTTCACCCTCTGTCTGAAACCAGAACCAACAGGATTGTATCTGTAAAACATGTTAGTCCAAACCTGAGGTGTTTGACAGTAAATCAGAAACCTGGTTTATGAGAGTCAGCCCTGATTAATGACCGAAACTATTTTGTCACAACTGGCATTTACATGGAGCGAGGGGACAGATCAATTCAAATGGTATCATTAAATCACTGGCAAGAAAAGGGGGAAAAACAGAGAACACTTTCTACATTTCAGACTTTATGAAGACTTTTTAAATCAACATGATCAGGAAGAAACGAGATCTGCAAAGCAAAGACCTGTAGCACTAGTCAATAGAAGCTTAATGTTTGAATACTGCATGCCAACAAGGGTTTTCATCCAAAGCCTGATTTATGAGAGTCAGCAGTGATTAATGACTGTACTATTGTTCCTATTTGTCAAACGGATTTATTTGTGCGTTTGCTTACTGTAACGCTGTCAGCTCAATTCAACTGTCAGATATCTTAAATCCTTGGCGGGGAAATGAACTTTAAAAAGTGAAACCAAACAACACAGAGCACACTTTCTCTTACCGTCGCCTTGTCCAACACTTTGATGGAGTTCTCGTCGGCGACGTTCCTCTTCCGGAGCGCCTCCTCCAGCGTCCACAGCGGGAGTGTCTCCCATTTCCCAAAACTACCAGGTCAATGTCACTGCGGGGGGGGGACATGAATGAGGTGTGAAGAAACATACAGGATCGTCTCGTACAGCGTCACAAGGGGAGAAAGATGAATTTGGCCATTACAAAATGCCAGCCCTTTAAAGCTCCCATGTCATGGCCATTTCTACTGATCATAATTCCATTGATGAGGTCTACTAGAATAGATTTACATTGTTCAATGTTCCAAACTCACATTGGTTTCTCATACAGCATCTCTGTGTAGTATGTGTATTCACTCTCTGTCCTAAACGGCTTGTTGGAGCTCCTGCCCCCCCCCCTCCCTCCCTGTGAGCCCAGTGGCCGTCAGCGAGACAGCTAAACCAGCCTGAACACACACACCCGCAGCCTCGCCGCGCCCCACCGTCTCAGGGAGGAGAAATCGGGTGTACTTTGAGGGTTTGTGACTCTGCAGACCGTTTACATGCAGAAAAACCTTCATAACTCACAAGGGGACGGGTAAGAACCGGAAAAGCATGACATGGGACCTTTAATAAAAAAAGACTTACAACAGCCATTTTTAAATATCCTCCACATGGTATCTAAGAGGTGGATTTGCTTCCCTCTTGTGGAAGAACAGTGTGCAACAGTGTGTGTGAAATATTTTAGCAGTGCCATGTGTTCACTTTATACAGGATGTTACATAAGCGCATTCTTGAAACATTACACAAACACAAGTTTAAAGAGGATTATTTGTGTTTCACTTCAGTACTTCAGATTTAATTCAGTTTATGTTTGTTGTGTTCCTGTGTGTCAAAGTGTGTGGACCCCAAGAAGAATACCCAATGCTAAAGGGGATCAGGATTGCAGGATATTGAAAAACTAATTGATTTTGACCGATATTGCGAGTGCGAGATTTTTTAGACTATTCAAAAAAGATATTAGAATAATCAGGATCTGGTTTCCATGGTTACAGAAGCACACAGAAACAGATTCACACACTCATCACCTACTGACATCCAGTTTAGCACCATTACAGTGATCATTATGGTGTCAAGAGTCGAATAATACAGGTGACAAGTGTGTAAGTGTGTAAGTGTGTGTGTGTGTGTGTGTGTGTGTGTGTGTGTGTGTGTGTGTGTGCGTGAACTAAACCTGATCCTTTAATCCAAAGCAGATAATCATCCCCCGGCTTGGGTTAGCACTTTCTCAATAAGAGATACAACTTGTTTTGGGTACGGTGCCAGTTCACAGTCAAAGTTTGGTTTAGGAAACGAGCTGTTGATCCGCTCAAAGAGCCAACTCAAGATGCACCGCTTTACTTTGGCTTTTAATTGAATTGTATTTATTCGTATTCTTTTAGAGTTGTGCGGTGATGAAGTGTTTTGTAGGTCGACTCAGAGGTTAGCATAGCTAGGGGGTCCCTCGACAAAAGCATTGGGATTTTGGTATATTGTAAAAAATACGTAGTATACTTCATGATACTAAACACGTTTTGCTCAGCTAGATAATCTCCACATTAACACTACTTTTGAAACGTGGTTTTTTGAAGCTCAAATCCAATCGCCCTAAGTGAAACGTAATGCTATAACTGAACTACATCACGGTCGCATGGCTATGCATCGACGCGGCTAAAATAAAGGTGGTCTCGTGTCGGTTTGATGACGTTTAGTAGTCTTGGGACTAATGCGTTACAAACTAACGCAACTACCTTTTGCGGTAACTAAGAACGTTACTAGTTACCTATTCCCATTCAGTAACGCCGTTATAGTTACTGTGATTTAAAACAATACGTTACATTATGTGATCCAACTGAACCGAATCTCCCTGCAGATTACAGGCGAATACAGCCACACACACACACACACACACACACACACACACACACACACACACACACACACACACACACACACACACACACACACACACACACACACACACACACACACACACACACACACACACACACACACACACACACACACACACACACACACACACACACACACACACACACACACACACACACACACACACACACACACACACACACACACACACACACACACACACACACACACACACACACACACACACACACACACAGTTCTCTTACTGTGCCACAGAACAACACAAACACTTGCTTTAACCGCAGACCTTATTTCAGCTTCTAACCACAAACACCTTCAAACAACCGTTTACTTAGAGACGAGGAAACTGGAAGTGCTAAAATGATGAGTTCTGCACCACTGTTCATATTTTATTTTGTTTATTCATTCCTTTGATTGTTGATTTCTGTTTGCGAGCATTGTTTTGTTCGCTGGTGCCAAAGACACATTTCTTTGTACCTTTAATCGACAATAGAGTATTCTGAATCTGAATGAATCCCAGTTGTATGCTACTATGTTTAATACTTGGGAAGAGAGGGTTGGTATGGATTGTTGTTTTTTGCTTGTTAAGCACTTTGCGTTAACTTGTGTGTGTGTGAAAAGTGTTGTATTAATAAAGTTTGATTTGAAATGTCTCACCTTGTTGGCAGATAAAGACCCGTGCTGAAGCTCCCAAACACTTGGACCTGGGGAAATGAGACAGTTACACACACATTAAGCTTTTTTTAACTAAATATATTACATGTATTTATGCACATCCTGCAGCCAGAACACATGATCGTTTCATCAACAGTTAACCTTTTTAACACTTTCCATGTTACAATACAACGTAGACGTGGTTAAAATGTGTCACCAACGTCTGTGTTTTCTCACACTAAGCTCCCTCACTAGTCACTTCTATATAAACCTGTTCACCAAGCTGCAAGAAAAGCCCTTTTTCCTTCTTACTGTTGGTTTAATGACAAGTCCAAACAAATGGCACAGGCGTGGTACCAAAACTACCTCTCAGGGGTAAAAGACAAGTGTGTGAATATTTTAAAAAGCAGTTCAGTTGCATTTCAAGTGATTGGCATACATGAATAAATCCTTCATTTAAATGTTACATATTGGATATTATGGTAATCATAACTGGCAGGATGTTTAACTTATATTTCCTATATTGATCCGAATTTGGGAATATGTTCTGTGCCAGCAGCATGTAGACAAGGCGTTGCACATGTTTTAAAAGGGAAAACAAATAGAAAATAAACATAAACAGTTAATACATACATATCTAAAGAGTATCTCTATTGAATACACAACACAAATATACAGAATTGAAGTCAGTGTACCCATGACAGGCCAACCTACAACCTAACAAAATGTCAACATGGTATTATTGTGCCAAGTCATTTTTTTTTTTACTTTTTAAATGCTATTTTATTTCAGAAATATTTTGGACTGTTTATTTCGTGTGTCTTAATTTCTGCTATGTACATTGCCTTTTTCCCCAAAATGTCCCAAATTGGGATCAATAAAGTACCTATCTATATATCCATCTAACTATCTATCCATCTAACTATCCATCTATCCACCTACCCATCCATCTATCCACCTATCTATCTATCTATCTACCTATCCATCTATCCACCTACTTATCCATCCACCTATCTAACTATCTAACTATCTATCCACCTACCCATCCATCTATCCACCTATCTATCCACCTAGCTATTTATCTATATATCCATCTAACTATCTATCCATCTAACTATCCATCTATCCACCTACCCATCCATCTATCTACCTATCTATCCACCTATCTATCTATCTATCTATCTACCTATCCATCTATCCACCTACTTATCCATCCACCTATCTAACTATCTAACTATCTATCCACCTACCTATCCATCTACCTATCCGCCTACCCATCCATCTATCCACCTACCTATCCATCTATCCGCCTACCCATCCATCTATCCGCCTACCCATCCATCTATCCACCTACCTATCCATCTACTTATCCATCCACCTATCTACTTATCCATCCACCTATCTATCCATCTAACTATCTATCCATCTATCCATATACCTACCTACCTATCCACCTACCTATCCACCTACCTATCCATCTACCTATCTATCTATCCACCTACCTACCTACCATCTAACTATCTACCTACCTATCTATCTATCTATAGTTAGTGCACCTAACTATCTATCTATCCACCTACCTACCTACCTACCTACCTACCTACCTACCTACCTACCTACCTACCTAATGCAGTTTATAAATTAAAGTGTACTACCGACTGCAACCAAGCACAAGGCCATTTTGCTAATTTGACATGCAAAACAGTCCTTATCCTGCACGCTATGATAGAGCCTAAAATATCCCCACCCTTCCACCTTTGACCCCCCAATGAATGGTTGTCTGAACAGAAATAGAGTTAAGCCTTGACCCCTACTTTAGTCCCACATCAACAGGAGTATAAACTGTGTTTTACAGCCGGTCACATGACCCGGGCTAAGCTGATTGCAGCGCCATGTTTGTGAATGAGTGTAGAGTAAGACTTATATAAAAGGTGGAGTGACTGCACATGGTGAGCTACTTTGAATCTTGTTTTGGTGCTCTCGGGTCAAACGTTCACTCCTACATTTACTTTATTCTGAAATGCATTTAATTTGTTTCTTTATATTCAATTTTTCACTTCTGTTTGTTATATCTTACCTGTTTTAAACCAATGTTAAGACCGATTAAATTAATGTTTTGGACCGTTTAGTCGTTAGTTTAGTTTGACAGTGTTTACTTATGTCTGTTTTATTGGTAATGTGTTACGTAATACATGAACTCTCTCCAGGTCTAGATATTGAAGTAATAAATGTACTTTATTCTGAATTGCTTTTGATTTATATCCTTATTGTCCCTTGTAATGCCGTGATAAGTGTTTTGGACCATTTAGTAGTTCGATTTAGACACGTTTTGGTTAGTCTTACAAGGCTTTTTAGCTTGTTATGTTTCTGTATAATACATGAACTCTCTACATTTCTAGATGTGTTAATAATATATTGTAAATACTTTTTGTTTAGTGTCTGAGCTCAAAGTTTCAGATAGTTCATCGGGACAACCTACTTTACATATCTCCATTAGATTAGATTACACTTTATTGTCATTGCTTAGAGTACTCCGACAAACCAGAAGCAGTAAAGTGCAATGTTTTTTATATCCAGGGTATATGCAGGAATCCTGAAGTCAGATGTAAAACCTTTTAAGACCTTTTTTAAGACCCTTTCCACACATTTTAAGACCTCATCGCCACTTGGAGTTCTAACCGGTTACCTTGGCGACACACTTCACCTCACATTGACTATATACAGTATTGATTGTCCTTCCTCCTTATCTTCCAACCATTTGGACGCAGACTTGCATTTCCCATAACGATGTGTTTAACAACCGGTGTAAACGGAGCTTCGTGCTATCAAGCAGTGAGCGTGCGATGTCCGGTTCAGATGACGTCAAATCCAACGGGATGCCATCAATAAACTACACAGAATCACACTACACACCTAGGCAATGATTACATTCAGGCAGACTGTAGAATACAACCTCTTTGGACCATTTATATACTTATTGAAAACAAGCTACAAAATGTAATACCTTGGAAAATGCCCTTTAATAGTGTTAATTTTCGCTAAATTGATTTATCAACTTTTAATACATTTTAAGACCCGCGGACACCCTGTATATAATATAAGAATAAACACATAAAATCAAAGTATTTACAGAATTAACAGTAGGTATTGGTATAAACTCTGTAGACAGAGGGATAGAACATAAATACAACACTATATTACATCTTGTGATGTGTACAATTTTTTTGAATTCCTAGACCTGTTTTAGTGCATCTGACCCCAGACAAGCCTGCATATATACCTGTTGAGACGGTGTGGAAACATTTGCGAGCGCCTGGTAGACGTCTATGCATCTAAGCTCATTAATTAAAACAGGCGCCAGGTTGAGTGGATGATTCACCATCGCTCACTCCACAGTGGAAAAGGAGTAAAGGAGTGCAGGCTGGGGTCAGAGTTGTGCTCCTTGATTTAGGAAACAGCTTTAAGCTCGGAGCAGACAAGCTTCGAGGCAAACTGCTCTATCAGCGGGATCAAAGTCAGCGTCAGAGAAAGTCTGAGGAGGCGCTGATAACACGGGCCCAAACACAGCAAACAGGAAGCTGTATGAAAGGCATTAGCTAGCTCATATGCTAACTGTGCTAACGACACATTACAAAAGCCACTGTGTCAAAGTAGTCTGGTTTCACCATTTCATTTCCCTCCTGTTAAACCAGTTGTTCGGCCAAAATTGGTTGGATATTTGACAGTTAGTGATATACGAGTAGATGTATTTTATACCTGACTTAAGTTTTGGAAATGTAATATCATAGGTGTCGGTGTTTCCCACAGAATTTGATTCTATTTGTGGGGGCACCGCACAATATTTTAATCACATGAGTACGCTATACGTGGATAGAGCTGTTTGGACGTTTTTTTCATGTTAAATACGAGTAATTTGGTTAATGTTATGTGTTTCTTCAATATAGGCCTCAGCCCTTATGCCAAATAGCTTTCAGATTAGAGCCAAGATTTTTAGGAAACAGCTGGGGGCAATTCTCAATCTGATTATAATGCTCTGTCACACGCTGCGATTCAAACCACAACCACAAAGGACAGATAAGTCATTATTTTCTTAAAGGTCACCTATTGTGCAAAATCCTCTTCTTCATGTCTCTTCTACATCAACATGTGTCCCCTCTTCTTCATGTCTCTTCTACATCAACATGTGTCCCCTCTTCTTCATGTCTCTTCTACATCAACATGTGTCCCCTCTTCTTCATGTCTCTTCTACATCAACATGTGTCCCCTCTTCTTCATGTCTCTTCTACATCAACTGTGTCCCCTCTCTTCTCATGTCTCTTCTACATCAACATGTGTCCCCTCTTCTTCATGTCTCTTCTACATCAACAGTGTCCCCTCTTCTTCATGTCTCTTCCACATCAACATGTGTCCCCTCTTCGTCATGTCTCTTCTACATCAACATGTGTCCCCTCTTCGTCATGTCTCTTCTACATCAACATGTTCCCCTCTTCTTCATGTCTCTTCTACATCAACATGTGTCCCCTCTTCTTCATGTCTCTTCTACATCAACATGTGTCCCTCTTCTTCATGTCCTCTTCTTCTACATCAACATGTGTCCCCTCTTCTTCAGTCTCTTCTACATCAACATGTGTCCCCTCTTCTTCATGTCTTCTTCTACATCAACATGTGTCCCCTCTTCTTCATGTCTCTCTCTACATCAACATGTGTCCCCTCTTCTTCACGTCTCTTCTACATCAACATGTGTCCCCTCTTCTTCATGTCTCTTCTACATCAACATGTGTCCCCTCTTCTTCAGTCTCTTCTACATCAATGTGTCCCCTCTTCTTCATGTCTATTCTACATCAACATGTGTCCCCTCTTCTTCCATGTCTCTTCTACATCAACATGTGTCCCCTCTTCTTCATGTCTCTTCTCATCAACATGTGTCCCCTCTTCTTCATGTCTCTTCTACATCAACATGTGTCCCCTCTTCTTCTCTTCTTCTCTTCAACATGTTCTCTCTTCTTCATGTCTCTTCTACATCAACATGTGTCCCCTCTGTGTAAAGAGACTCTGAAAGTTTCAGGAACAAAGATTCTCTCTCTTTTTGATCCATTTCTATAAAAACCTGTCTGAAAATGAGCTGATCAGATTTTGGTCACTTTATGATGTCATAACGATGTGTTGGCTTGAGTAACCATTAGCCAACAGTATTGTTGGCTAATGGTTGTTTTATAGTTATTTGTTAATATAGCCCAATGTGTGTTCTTTGAAATTGAAAAGGATATCGCATTGTGTTTGTTACTTTCGTTGCAGTTGTATATGTCTGTAATTTGGCTTGGCTTCCTATTTATGGACATGCTTTTATTTTGAAGGAGAGTTAGCGCAGTTGACAGGAAGTTGTTGTTGCTATGGAAACAACGTGACGGAGATTAACGGAGAAAAGTAATATCTACATATAAAGACGGAGAAAGTAAACGATAACCTTTATGGTTAAGTGTTAGCACCCCCGAAGAGGCACAAGCTCTTATGTTGATATTTGAGATTTCAATCAATTCGAAGAAAAAAACGGGGAAAAACGAATAACGAAATTGAAACCCGAATAGTACTCCAACGAACGAATATTCGGGTACAAGCCCTACATCAGAGACATGTTTTGTATCTGAGGCCTATAATATATTGATGAAAAACAGTAAAATAGGGGACCTTTAAGTTCTTTATTTGCAGTTCCCATCATTATTATTATTATCATTATGCCCTTCTACTCCAGTAGGACTCAGATGTTGAACTTTTCCTTGTACATGTGATGTTTTGATGTTGCGATATTATTTCTGTTAACTGTCAAGTGGGAACTAAGAAGAATGTGTTTGTGTTTCTCTTATTTCTCTACGATACTGTTATGATTGGCTGTGAATACGAAAATATGAAGGACAGACCATATATTTCTATGTATTTTGAGGAAAGGGGAGGTAATATAAGATTATTTTCTTCTCCCTGCTCCGTTCCGAGTGTGCGGTGTTTATAGAGACATGTTTTTGCAAATAATTATCATACATTAAGTTGTGCATACCGTGAATGGAACAATACAAATGAAATGATTGAGAGGCGATGTGTACCTCAGCGCTGGGCCACAGGTCGTGGATGACTTCCTTTATTCTGTCCACCAACCTCTAGCCTCATCTTCTCCTCCTCCGGTCGTGGAGAGATGGACTCGAAAGTCGCTGACCTCCTCGTGCAACCTGCAGACAGAAACACAGCGTTGTGAGGACAGAGGGAAAAGTGGGTTTTTGTGGTAGCATCCATTATACCATTTCAATTTCAATTAGAAACACTACTTTAACTCTGAGGGTCCGCCCCAACCCTGGGTTACTTATTAAATCAAAGTTAAAAACCTTTCTTTTTAATGTAGCCTATCCTGAGATCCTTTAACCAGTTAAGGCCCGGAGCCTGTTTTCCAGGTCTCAGGCTAGAAAATGAACAGTCCTAGAACAAATGGCTATATATTCACTTCTCAAAGGGGTCAATTAATAATCTTTTTTCTCAAAGCAAGATAAACTGTGAGTTGGATGTAGAAAAGTCAGAATGAATATTGGTTTTCTTATTTTAAGGTAAATTCTAGGGTCGACGATATTCCGCCATTTGGACTGATTATCGGTATCGGCCTTTTAAAAAAAATCAAATTGCCGATAAAACTTTGGCTCTATGCGGCCGTTTCTCCGGCTTCAGCCACCACTCTCATGGACTACCTATGTTGCAAATGTATTATCTTTTCAATTCACACGGCATCTATTGCACGTCTGTCCGTCCTGGGAGGGATCCCTCCTCTGTTGCTCTCCCTGAGGTTTCTCCCATTTTTCCCTTTAAACTGTGGGTTTTTCTCTAGAAGTGTTTTCCTTGTACGATGTGAGGGTCTAAGGACAGAGGGTGTCGTATTGTCATACTGATATTCGTACAAACTGTGAAGTCCACTGAGACAAATGTAACATTTGTGATATTGGGCTATATAAATAAACATTGATTGATTGATTGATTGACTCTCTGTACACGAGCAATGTCCCGCCCACAGCCCTATCTGATAGGCTATTACTGAAGTGTCAATCAACACTGAAGATTTTCTGGGCGGGAGCCAGCCAGAGAGGCGGGACCTTCTCAGATTACAGGCAGGTGCGAAAGAACGCAGACACAGATTGAAGCAAGCAGCAGCGCTGAGCGGCAGAGCCATACATGTGTCTCGAAGGTAAGTCAGTTGAAAGCTGAAGCTCAATAAACATCCCAATCCCCTATGCTGAAGTTGCAAAAACACCACGATCTTATGATCCAATTCTATCAGTTTCCCAGTTACACAGGGACGTATTTTATCGCTTTTATGAATTGTCTTCGTTTGTTTTTAATTGTTTTGCTTTGAACTCTTATGTGTTGAATGCCTATGTGAAGCACTTTGAATGGCCTCTGTCTTAAATGTGTTATACAAATAAACTAACCTTAATGTTTAGTAATGAACTTGTTAACCTGAATTGTATTGACTGTTCTAGTTCTCTTAGTCCAATCTGTGCCCCCCCCTGCAGCGGAAACACAATCTGTATTTCATTTCAAACCTTTATTTATCCAGGTGTATCCCATTGAGATCATTGATCTCTTTTTCAAGGGAGACCTGCTCAACCCTGCTGTATGCTGAGACACTGCCACAACTATTGCTGCAGCAGGTACACAAGGCAGACTTTAAGTCACATTGACTCAACGTCGAAGAAAAGCGTCTCTCTGCGTGCATATTTAAACGCACGAGTATCTGTCTGTATGTCAATAATCAAATCACTGAGAAAATACGTTTTTTTATTAGCATTCCCAAAATGGTGAGCTTCTATGTTGCATTTCTTTTCTCAAGGATTTTATTAAATTGTTGTTTTTTTTTAAATATCATTTCTTTTTAGTGTGATTGACTTTACAACAGCTGTCCAGGTGGACTACAGATGAACAATAGCCCATGTTTATTAATGTACCTAATAAATAGGGTGTACTACTGTGTTCAAATCACAAGGCCTATATACAAATGTATGTGTGTGAGGAAATATCACCATCACTATATAACTTGCCATAAACAAGCACATTGTTCTTAGATTCTGCTGCTTTTTGTCTAGTGATACAAAACAACAAATGTCTTGGTGATACAAAACATTTAAGACAATTGAACTGTCCAATATGGGCTTCAATTTGACAATGCTGCGACACTCTTTCAACCTACTTGTGATGTGTTTATAGCGCAAGTCGCCACCTGATAGTCGTTTATCAGGTGTCTGTGGAGATGAATAATTAACTGCAATCCAAAAGGGGTCACTTCTATCCGGTTGTCATTTCAAACCAAATGTTCCTTTTTTTAGGATAACAGGGCTGAGCAAAACACAACAAGAACCGTAACTGAGTGCCAAAGTTGTGTGAGTAAAAATAATATGTACTCAGGCTAAGCAACAGTTCCACATTTGTCCTTGGAACAGGTCGCTGAGGTCACATGCGCTGACATTCCCACTGACCAACAAAACACAAAACACATCACCATGAGGACCATACTAGGCAACTCCTCTTGGCAAAAAGTCATGTTACAGCTTTTAAAAATAGAATGAGTAAAGTCTGTGTATGCCACAGAAAGTTGGACAAGAAAAAAACACAAAAATCAGCTTTTGACACTCACTGCCTTTTTCTGTGGGTTGCACACCACATGGAGAACTGTTTGTCCATATGGGTTTCTGGGTTTCATGTTACAACAACACTTCCTCTGACTACAGACAACCTTTTTGGGTTTCACCGTTATTATTTCTTGGGTCACAGACTGTGAAGCTGACCGTTGAGCGGCCCGACCAAGCAAGGAGGCAGAGGCAGAACGTCCAAAATACAACCCGGTGTGGGCATTTATTACTCACAAACGTATGACAGCCTCAATCTGCTGTTCACGTGAGCACAGTCACCAGCCACCACAAGGATCTCACACACTACCCAGCCTTCACCAAACACAGAGCCTAAATACACACCCACTAATCAGCAATTAGACACAGGTGGGGGGGGGAAGGAGACAACACAGGGCACCAGGTGAACATAATCAGGAGTAACAGAAAGAACGGGAGGGGGAACACTTTTCAAAATTAAAGACATGTGCAATATACAAGGCCCGAAGCCGTTAGTCCACAGTGACGAAGTTACCTTCGTCACACAGACATGTAGCAGCACTAAGATGTTGCACTTCTGCTCACTTTGTAGGGAAATAGATACAGAATAAAACATTGTTCTCCCTAGCTAAATGCGATCATGGGGACCTTGAGAAAAGTAACCAACCCCCTAAATACTGGCAACCAAACAGAACAGCATCAAAACACAACGCTATGCAAGTGTGTGAATAGAGATGAATATGAATAAAACAAGGAAGCTACTCTGAAAGCTTATCAGACAACGGGACACTGTACAGCAGCTAATAGTTGAACAACATTCACATGTCTCAAAAAGGGCTTGAAAGGGCTACGTAATGTTTTCATAATTATAATAATGTCAAAACAAATGTGAAAAATGTGCTTTTATTGGGAAGCGCTAGGGCTGCTCGATTATGGCAAAAATCATAATCTCGATTATTTGGGTCAATAATTGATATCACGATTATTCAAAACGATTATCCATTTACTTTGAAAACATCCATTTATTGAAAAAAAAAAATGTGAACATTATGTTTTTAACAGTCGATTACCCTGAACTTTGAGTTTAATTCAACAAAAACAACTCGTTTATTTCGATTACGTTGTTTTTTTGTAATCGTTGCAAGCCAAAATCGTAATTGCGATTAAAAACGATTAATTGAGCAGCCCTAGCTAGCGCTCCAACACATTGTACGTGCTAGGCTTAGGGGCGGGACATCTCTAAGCGGTGACCAATCCCAACAGAGCCGGCCAGCTAACCAATCAGAGCAGACTGGGCTCTGGTTTCAGACAGAGGGTGAAAGAGGTGCTGCAGCACAGGCAGTATGAGAAAATAAAGAGCTTTTTGAACATTAAAGCCTGGAGACATGTCCCACTGTGCCTGGAAGTATTAACATGTGTTGCTTCTGATTCTTAATGCCAGCATCGAACAGTGCCAATGTAAACCACTATGATAAGCAACACAACAAAAACACAAGTTTCCTCTGTTGCATCATACATGAGAACTATGCTTCATGCCACACATGTCACAGACAAATCCATCTTGACTGTGGTTTTATCCTGAGGGAACATTTAGAGAGTTGAGCACAAATTAAAAAAAGTTTTATTTCACCGACTTATTGTTTAGTCAAAGATAATGAACAATGAAAACTGAGTTACTTGTCTTTCTGTCGCACAATACTTTGAGCTTTTATTCAATCATTACATGGGATTTCCCCATCGTTAATGCGGTGACCAAGTCGTTTGAAATGCCACCTCTTTTTGTTGTCTTTGTTAGGGTTTTCTCAGGAGGAAAAGGTTTCTGTTTCCATTTCCAGCCCCTCCTGTTCTAGTAGAATGAAAACTCTTATTTCTAATGACCTAATGGGTTTCCCTGCAGACTCCAGCTTCTGTCACAGACACGTTTCATTTCAGGGTAAGAGAAACTCAGCAGTCTGTAGTTTCATTCTGTATCATTAACACCCATCAGCTCAAAGCCTCACACTAATGCAACATCCTCTAATGTGTTGTAATTGAATTTAAGGGTTTTTAAAAGGCCGGTATGATCCCATTTAATGTACTTTGAAGCACGCGTAAACATCAAGCTATAAAGAAGGCATTTGCTTCTATTACAGCGCAGCATAATAAACCTTTATAGTTAAACTGATATCCTGAGACATGAGTATTTCCACTCCACAACACCTCTAGGTTTCATTTCACAGCAAACAGCTCGTCTGGCATCACGTGTTAGCGGCAGCCTAAGAAATCTCATCTCCTGCCCCGCCTTCTGGGATCAAGTTTCATCTCTGCCTCGGGAACACATGGACCCTCGGCACTGCTTATCAGATCCAACTTGCATATATCATAGTCATGTTATGTAATCGCAAGGAACAGATTTCCAGAGAGCCGAGGCTTCCTGAGAGGGAGGAAAAGTGTTATCCCTTTCTCCACAACGTTTCCTTCTGGCACGATTATCCCGGTGTCAGGGAAATGTTGCGGGTCATGCTCACTGATGGCCCGTAATGTTAGCGCTGCTGCAGTAAAAGCTAGTCTTGTTTTTCAGATGATTTGTGCTTTATGCATGCATG